TCCTTCAAATGCTATTCAATTGATCAAAAATTATTTCTGCATTATTCTAAAAGTAGCAGGACCTCTTACTACCGCCATGTGGCTGACCTGGAGCAAACAGTATTGTCTACAATGTGTGAAATCTTTGTAAGATGCTGGTATTGTAGGGCTCTAAATTACATGTTGTGACTTCCCTGTGTGCCCTGCTATTAATAAGAATATGTATGGTAGCAATGAAGCAGATAATGGGCTGTGTGAGGTCTTTCTATGTTCAAGCAGGAAAAATATGAGATTAATAGAAACCATATATGTGGAATTCTGGACCATTTACTTGATTATATGGTACTGTTAGGCAGTCTGACTTTGCTTGATTGTGCACAATCTCTAGCATTTCTTCCCATGTTGTATAGGTACTGTCACCATTGTTAATCCTGATAGGCCTGATTGCCATCTCATGCTAAGTTTAAAGCACTTCATCTTTTGACTTTTCACATGGACTATCGGTTTCATCCCCACCTTACACTGCAGAATATCTATTTCATGAGCATGACTCTATTATAAAGCCTTTGTGCCTCCAGGTTGCTTATTTCCAAATTGTGGCATTACCATAATTTATTTTACGTCAAACAACCCTCATAGACCTCCTGCAGTTTTTCAATCATACTTTGCAAAGGCTCACTCGCTTTATCGCAGTACTGTTTGGCCCTTTTGAGCGGCAATCCTTTAAGAGCAGGAGCCCTCTCAAGGAGGAGCTGTAAGGATGGAATTTCTGTCATCTGTAACCAGAGTTTTTAGTCAAAAGACTGATCTTATGAATGTAAGTCAAGTTTAATTGAAGACGTAGTGTAAGTTGTTTGTATTGATCTTGTGAATGTAAGTCAAATCTAACTAAAAATGTAGTGTAAGGTGTTTGTGTAAGTTATCTGGTTTGCCCAGGATGGGGAAGACTCCAGCTGTTACATCTTGTGTAGAACTCTTGACCTTGGAGAAAGCAAGAGATTACATTACATGGCCAGCCCTTTGATGGTTAAGGCTAAGGTATCTTGCGGAAGATTGTTTTCCCCTGTGATCTGTCACCGAGTTCCCAGCATCTATTATAGTCAAAGCCTTTTCGATTTCTGTGTTCTCTGAGAAACAGCCAGCTGACCATTTTATTACCTTTTCCTTACTTCAACCCATAACTTCAATTCCATCATTGTGAAGTCATAAATCGATTTTTATAGTTGTTATATTTATTGTAGATCTGAGTTGTTGTTTCCTTCACCAGATGGCAGTCAATTTGTTAAGCTAGAAATGGAAACATAATTCCTTAACTGAGTTTTTGTTTGTGATTTCTTTAGCTTTATGATTGAACCCTGTAGTACTCCTAATGGTTTTGTACAGAATATTCCTAGAAATCCATTTTATTGATGACTTCCATTGTTTTAAAATATGGATTTCTTCCCACTGTAAAAATTCACTTTTCCATTGAAAAGGCATTAAACATGCAATGCTATTCTATCTAAACCTATGATTATGTTTGCTGCGCTACCCTGAATCCTGTCTCAGATTTATTTTACTAGTGCAATGAGCATAAGAGGTTTGGTGTCTCTGATATTTATTGCGTCCAACTTTGATGTCTCCTCCCCTAGCCCACCCTCTCCCCGAGAATGGGTAGGATGTTGACAAGTCAAAACTTAAATTGAACTCAACTTGCCTCAAAGCTGTCCATTTTTTTGTTTTGAAGCTAGAGGCAAGTGCACCCTCCTCACCTTGAATTCCCACACCTGAGAGGCAGGGCAGAGTTAGAAGGTCCTGGCATATCTGGAGACCCTTAAGAGGAAACTTCTGAGAGTGACTGTACTGTCACCCTACCTCCTTCTGAAGACAGGGCTCAAAGTGGCCCCAGCACCCTCCCTGCGCTCATTTGCCTTGCCATTGCTGCTAGGGACGTGTATTGGACGTGGCTCACCATGATAGCCACCAACCTCTCCATGGAGGCAGCCAGACGATGGTATGTTTGTGACAGCTGAGTCCCTATGGTGTAGCTGCAATCCCGCAGCCTCTGGGCTACAGTGGCTACCACACCCCACATTCCTTTTCAGCCTAATGCTCCTGTATTTGCTTGTCAATGTGTAGAAAGTCCCTGATTGGTGACACCCCAGGGTCCTCCTGCTTGGCACTGAACAGATGCCAGGTCTCTGGCAGATCTTCTAGTGTCAGCAACCTGGGTGTTTCATCCTCAGCCAACTGCAGAGATATGGCAGTGATGTGTTCACCAGCAGATGCTCTTGATTCTAATCTAGCTAAAGTTCCCACCAAATGGCGTGGGTTGTGCTGCGTGCATGGAAAAGGTCCCTCTGACAAAGGCCCATGTCGAGATATTCCATGGCCATACTTGTTAAAGTGTTCCTTATCCCATATATGCTGCACTGCCATTGTGTGTTACACTGACTGTTCACATCAAGAAGAACCTTGGATATTCCCCACACAGGTTCATTGGAAACTTGACCAATGGCTCCAACCCACAGCAGGAGTTATTGTCACTGTGTCTGTGGAACAATAACACTGCAGAGCAGAGGGGGAGCAGGTACTCCATTAAGCTCCTACCAATCAGTCTCCACATGAAGAGGTTGCAGCTTAAGGTCCCCTCAGGATTCACAGGTGACCATGAGTCTGTCGTCCTTGTTGCTAATTCCTTCACTGATTGAGGCACGGGGTTGCTGCAGACTGAGGGTACTCAACCCTCTCACCAAAGAAATAGCATTTCCATTCATAATTCTAGCCATCTGAGGCATTATTATCTCAGGACATCATTACTGAACTAAGCCAGCTAATGGAGCAAGAACGAGTAAGTGGCCATCTAAAACAACGGCCATCTAAAACAACAGCCATCAAGGTAACAGATGTCTTCAACCTTTATGTAAGTGACTGCTTCCAAGGATCCACTAGGGACCTGTATGGGATCTTTCAATCTTTGACCCATAAAGTATTAAAACTATTACTGAGGTAATTTGTGCAGGATCACACCACTTCAACTCATTTCTGCGTAACAAGGACAGTACTGCAGTCCCGGCTGGCTGTTTGCAGGTAGGTTTTGCCAACCTAGTGTCCCCCAGGTGCAGAGCACAATAGATTGGACACATTGAGATCACCATATTGTAACAGGATGACCAAAAACACAGATGATTTCCATTCCATCAATGTACAGTGATCATCAGCATCTCATCTTAGAATTCTGCACTAGGTACTGATAGGTTGCCGTGCTGCCTATTTCCTTGAGAACACTCAAGTTCCTGCTTTATTTCAAGGACTGGATGCCTTGCAAGAATGGTTGCTGGGAGATTTAACCAGTAACCATGGTTGATTACCTCATTACACTGCTCCTTGTGCTAAGACCAAGGGTAAATAATAAAGCAGTCCATTATTCAACCAAGGTGATGGTGGAGTAGATGATAGATTTCTGAAGGTCAGGTTCTGACAATTGGATCAGTCTGGTGGGAGGTCTTGCAGTACGCCCCAGTCAGGGTGTGCCATGCACTGCAGGCATGTTGCACTTTGCACAATTGGAGCAAGCGCAGAGGGGATGCGATGGGGGCTGGAGAGGTGGGAGAGAGCAGCATCAGTCTTATGAGGAGGATATTGACCAGATGAAACATCACCTTCACCAAGATAGGGTGGTACAGCGTCAGGGACAAGAAGCCAGACAGGACTTCATTGACACTTGGTTCCAAATAGGTGGGAGCAGGGTGCAGTAATTACTCATTGACTGTAAATTGATAACTGCTCAAAAGTCGAACAGTCCCTGTCTGTTTCCAGGAGCAAATGTAACTTTTGTTTGTTTGTTTTTTAATTGCTTTTGCTCTTACTGAATAGAAATGAACATTTTCAATTATTTGAAAGCTTTACACTACGTGATTATTCAGTGTGGGACCATGACAAGATATTAGGCTTCACTGATCAATGGGGAAACCATAGCAACACAAAAACTAGCAACAGGAGGAGGCCATTTGGCTCTTTCAGCCTGCTCCACCATTCATTATGATCATGGCTGATCATCCAGCTCAGTGTTCTGTCCCCGCTTTCTCCTGATACCCTTTGACCCTTTAACACTAAGAACTATGTTTAATTTCTTCTAGAAAACATTCAATGTTATGGTCACAGCCAGTTTCTGTGGCAGAGAATTCCACAGGCTCACCAATCTCTGGATGAGGAAATGTCTCCTCATCTCCATCATAAATGGCCTACCCTATGTCCTTACACTGTGACACCTGGTTCTGGACTCCCAGAAAGACTGCCTTTGAGAGAATTTTAAGATGGGATGATGCTAAGAATGAGTAACCTGTGCAGCTTAGCCTTAAACAGTGATACAGTTGTGAAGGTGCACTTGTAGTAGCAATGAAGTGTCAGCCTTTCCACCTGTCTATGCTGAGAAGCATTTGTTTTTGGTCCCCCTCCCATTACCTGGATGGTGAAGAACAACTCTCAGCTGGCAGTGCTTCATCTGGTACGTGGCTGGGCTTTGGAAATGGCATCTGTACAGGGCATTCCTGGAGGTCCTGGCAGTAGTGGCTAGTTCCACCTCGATTGAGAGAGAAGATTGGACGAATGGTTTCCATGGAGTCATGGTGCACAGGTGATGAGTTGATTTGTAGCGAATGAACTGTGATAGTTCACTAAAGCTCATGGAGAAAAGCCCTCTACTAAAAGTGACAAATGAACTTTGCCAATATCTGATAAAAATCAGCCAAATATTTCAGAATTCAATGCAGCAGGAGAACCTTACAGGGTTAGTGCTGAATTAATATTGAATTGTTTACATATAATTCCTAGCATTGAAAAGTAATCATAGAACTGTTTCACTTTTTCATGTTTTCATATGTCATTTTTTTAAATTTAACTCGAACAATGAAGAATTATGAATAAAATGACTGACAAACTTCATATCATTACAACAAGCAATCACATTCTAGAGATATCTAATGTATGGATTCCTGTTGTAGTTCAAAAATGTTATTTTTTACTTTCTCCCAATATTTTAGTGGACCAGAAGAAAAATACTATCCCAATTGTCCAAAGATCAAGTCTCCCGAAATATCCCGGGCATTCTGGACTCCGTGCTCCTGGTTACTCGCGACTGCCAGCCGCTAAACTCGTGGCTTTCGGATTTGTTCGGAGTTCAAGTGTGTCATCAGTGTCCAGCAACCAGTCAAATGACAGCGCTCATAGTGACCACAGCAAAACTGCAAATCGTAAGCTATAATTTAATGGTTTCTCTTTTGATGTAGGCAATTGTCCACAAAATCTTTCATCATCTTTTCCTTAAAACGCAAGAATTCAGAGTAGCTAATTCGAACTTTAGAGGCGCACATGGAGGTGATGTAGTTCAATTGAATAACCACATGGTACCACGTGGTATACAACCATCCAACACTTTATTGCAACATATTTAAAAAGAAACTTCCCTACTCCAAATGTAACCAGGACATTTAGAAACACTTCAAATAGTGCTCAGGTTATACTAAACATGATAAAATCTGTAAGATGTCAGAGACATGTTTCACCAATTCTATAATAGACACTCTGTTAAAACTAGGTGCATCAAGCTGCAGTTATACTACGTCTCCACTTGCTGCCCAATGTCCATGAAATACATGATACAGCCACCTGTGTTAAATGATATTGTTGATTGTGTATTACTGAAGAACATGCCACGTTTAGCTAAAGAACAACTCTGTGCATACATCCAGGCATGCGAATGCCAAACTCTGCTCACCAACTGATTAAGTCTCAATGGTGAAAGAGTGCTGCCAGGCAAATATGTTTGGAATGAAATCAAATTTAGAAGTTAAAAATTACATTACAGTAGGCTGAATTATATGGGGGAGAAAAAGCAGAAATTGCCGGTGAAATTCAGCAGATCTGGTAGCATATGTGGGATGAAAGCAGAGTTAATGTTTTGAGCCCAGTGTCTCGTCATCAGAACGTTAGAAATTATGCTGTGCTGCTGTGAATGCTAACTACTTGATACAGCCTCAAAAGGTAGGCTCTCGTCCTTGTATCAATTCCCACCCTGAACCGCTTTCCATTGATAAGAGTGACAATTTAAGTGTTTGTATTTAAATAGATCCGTAGTAAATGATATAAGCAGGAGAATAAAATAGAGAAAGTAATTTCTTTTGTAATTTTCCACATAGCTTTGATCTAAAAATGCTTACTCTGAACTCTGATGTAAATTATTTTTAACCTCTCATTTGTTATAGAAAAATGTAATGCTTGAAGATGGAGAATTACCACTTATGACAGAGATATACTGATTACAATACTTTCAACCTTGCAGTCACCCCTTTGTTATAGACTTGTAGTTCACACAATTGATTCTCAAAAACTAGGCTGTTTTTATAGAACAAAAGAAATTGGGAAAAGACATGATCCACATTTTTAAGAGAATGAAGGGAATGAATAATGAACAGATTGTATCCTAAGTTTATCCGTAAACTCCAATGAAGAGAATATGAGTGTTTAATTAATAAGCTTTAAGGTTAGGATAAGAAACGCATTTTTCTACAGCACGATATGCAGTTAATGCACATGTTCTTTAGAAAGGAACTGATATTTGCAGTGAGCGATATTGAAGTTCGGGAAAATAAGCGCAGATGTATAGGATGAAATTATATACAATCTGAAGTTAATTGTTCTGAATTTTAGGCAGAAAATATGCTTCAGGAAAATAAACTATTTAAGTGAGCTGCTGTGACAATTTCTGTTATGTCTTGGCCCCTCTTAATTTTGTGCTTCAGAATTAAACCTTCTCTAATCTTCTGTTTCAAAGTAAACAACTCCAGCTTCTCCAGCCTTTCATCATAACTGAAATTCTTCAGTGCTGGCAATATCTTCGTAAATCTCCTCTATCCTTTCGAGTGCAATTACACCCTTCTGTAAAGCTGTATGCAGTTTTCTGGCTGTGGTCTAATAGCGTTTTTTTAGTACTGTTTTAGGATGACCTCCTTATGTGCTACTCTTAGCTAAAAAGAAAAGTATCCTCTATGTCATCTTAACTACTTTTTGTACTTGTTTCTCTGCCTTCAGGGATTTGTGAACATGTAATCCAAGTTCTCCCCTTTCCTGTCCACTTGTCAGTTACCTAGCTGTTTCTTATGCTACACTGTTTTCTCTTCCTGAATGCAATGCCTCACAGTTCTCTGGATTGAATTGATAATCACAACTTTTCTGCCCAACTGATTAACCCATTAATAAAATCCGGCGGTTTGCAACTTTCTTCCTTACAGAAGTTGGCTTTGTGGTTGATAGTGTCATCTGCAAACTTTTTAATCATTCTTTTCTTGCAACAATTACCATTGTTACGAAGGAGCCACTTTTTCAAATAGCATGGCCCTACAAACAGAAGAGGGATAACGCGATAACCAATGAATTTGTTCTTGTGCTGGTTGATCGTGAAAGTTTGAGTAGGATACAAATAGAATTTCCTTTCCTTTTGTGAGTAATGATATTGTACCTTCCACCTCCACCTGAATGGATAGACAGCAGCAGTTTAACTTTTCATCTGCACACCAACATTCCCAGCAATGTAGCTGTGTCAATACTGTACCAAAGTGCCAGGACAAATCCAACCCAGCTAATTACTGCCCCATCAGTCTACTCTCGATCATCAGTAAAGTGATGGAAAGTATCATCAACAGTGCTATCAAGCAGCACCTGCTCAGCAACAGCCTGTGCACTAACACCCAGCTTGGGTTTCCCCAGGGCCATGCAGCTCCTGACCTTGTTACAGTCTTGGGTCAAACATGGACAAAAGAGCTTAATTCCAGAGGTGAGGTGAGAGTGCCAACCCTTGACATCAAGACCAATTATGGCATCAAGGAGCTGTAGTAAAACTTTCCACTGGTTGGACTCATACCTGGCATATAGGACAATGATTGATAGTGGTTAGTGAAGATCAGTCATCTTGGCTCCAGGCCATATCTGCAGGAGTTCCTCAGAGTAGTGTTCTAGGCCCAACCATCTTCAGTTGTTTCGTCAATGACGTTCCCTCTATCAGAAGGTAAGAAGTGGGGATTTTCACCAACGATTGCACAATGTTCAGAATCATTGTGACTCCTCAGTTACTGAAGCAGTCCATGTTCAAATGCAACAAGACCTGGTGGTTAATATCCAGGCTTGAGCTAACAAGTGGCAAGTAACATTTGCACCACACAAATGTCAGGCATTACCACCTCCAATAAGAGACAATCTAACTACAGCCCCATGACATTGAATGGTTTTCCCATAACTGAATACCCTGCTATTAATCAACATCCTGGGGTTACCATTGATCAGAAACTCAACTGGACTCACCACATAAACACAGTGGCTACAAGAGCAGGTCATAGGTTAGGAATACTGACTCCCCAAAGCCTGCTTATCATCTACAAGGCACAAGTCAGATGCATGATGGAATAGTCCCATTTGCCTGGATGAGTTCAGCTCCAGCAACACTCAAGAAGCCTGACACCATTTAGGGCAAAGCAGCCCACTTGATTGACATCACATCCACTCCCTCCACCACTGACGCTCAGCAGCAGAAGTGTGTGTGCTTTGTACAAGATGCACTGCAGAAATTCACCAAAGATCCTCAGACAGCACCTTCCAAACCCAAACCCACAACCACTTTGACCTAGAAGGACAAGGGCAGCAGATACATGGGAACACCACCCACTTGTATGATCTGCCTTCAAACCACTCACCTTTTTGACTTGGAAACATATAACCATTCCTTCACTCGGCCAAAATCCTGGAATTCCCTTCCTAAGGGCATTGTGGGTCTTCTTAGAGCACATGGACTGCAGCGGTTTAAGAAGGCAGCTCACCACCTTCTCAAGGGCAGCTGGGTACAGGCAATAAATGCTGGCCAGCCATCAATGCCCACATCCCATGAGGGAATTAAAAAAAAGAAATGATGCCTTATTGAGAGGCATGAATCTCTAACCTTTTCTGTCAAAACGAGAAGCGCTGCCGTTTGGACTAAAATGATTTCATTCAAAACTCTATTAAAAATATTTGTTTTTACATTAATCTCTCTTGTTGCACCTAAGACATGTTACACAAGTGAGTAATTTTGTAAAAGTTAATGTAAGTAGGCATTTAAATGTAGTTACCTATCTAGAGCAGGATATAGTGACACACAAAGTGGTGAAGTTCATAACTAGTCCGGAGTCACACTGAACTCATAGAGGGTCTAGCCTAATCATCAGGACAAGTTTTTTTTTAAACTTTACTCAATTAAAATTATTGTACAGCTAATTGTAAAATTGTCTACAGACACTGTTGGTTTTCAGATACCAGATTTGAAGTACTCTACCTGTACCCACAAAATGCATAAATTAATTGTCACTTTTACTTTAAAACTGATAGTAACTATGGACAGACAATTACAGGACAGGACACTCTGCTAATACCCCAGAAGAAAAGTCAGTGGTGAGATGACAGAAGAAAGCTCATCCCACAGCCATAATGTAGACAGTCGGACTACCACCCCTCACTGGGGAGGAGGTCCCAACTTCTGGAGCTGCCTGAATGGCCAGCAGTCCCAGTAATGCCAGCATTCAGTAGTGGTCACTGCTGAAACTGTAGGTAGGTCCAACTCGGACATCCAGTGCATCCTAGAGTGAGGTAAGTCACGTGTATTGGGCAGTGAGAATTTGTCTGCGTTTGTGTAGGGCTTGTTTTTAAGTGTAGGTGAGTAGGAAAAAAGGAGGGTACTATATTCTCAACTAGTGCCTCTGAAGGGTGAAAGGCAACCTTCAAAGATAGTAATCCTTCTTCCTTCCTGCCCATTTCAATCATATTATGGTGTGCACAGGATAATATTGGGGTCGATCCAGTTTTAAAACAATGTCAATTAACCCTTTATTACATATGGTTGGTGGGCTGCTGATTTCAATGGCCAACGAGCCTCCGTTATATTGGGGTGAGCTTAATGGTAGGCAGCAAGTTGGTGGGCTGGATAACTGACCTTTCTTATGTTCCCCATGATAAAAAGACTGCTGGAGAGCATGTAATAGTCCAATGCTTCAAACATTGATGAATTGGCTGTGAAACAATTTGGACCTTCATGAGATTATGAAAGGCAGGTTACAAATGTAAGTTCTTTCTTTAAGTGCCTAGCTGAATTATTTCTGACTGTTCTTTTTCATGAGCGGCAAGGACAAAATCACATTTGACTCTACATCTAGTGTCAGCACAAGCATTGAAA